CGAATCACTACCTCAGTGCCAACATTTATTAAGGACTTGTGCCTAGCACACGGAGTTAGTGATTGGTGATATCCTCAGAGCTCCTGGCTGAGTTCTAAAAGATTTGCTTAAGAGTCAAACCACTTACACACATTTCCTTTTCTGTATTAGATTTTGATACTCTTTTGTCTATTTTGTGCTTTTTTTGGGAAAGATACTTTAGGACTTTTTAATATCTCTTATAAACCTAAGGAATAATTCACTGTAAATTTTTCCTACTTTTAGGTTAATTTCCTGTATTAGGTAGATGTTCTATTCTCTATGTACAGTGCATGTAAATGGATTATGGTTGTTCAGTTGAAAAATCAGTGTATATTGACTATTGGAATTCTTTTCTATCCTGTCAAATGCTAGCAGACCAACTTTGAATGGCTCTCACTTTTTTTGTTTAATTTTACATTTTGGAACAATAGTCACTTAGGGGCACAAGGTTTTTAGGTCTTCAACTTGATTTGTCCTTTTTTACCCCTGGGGTTGAATGGGAAAAGACACAGCATATTTAAGAGGAGAAGAGCTTTGTTACTGATGTAACAATAAAGTGGAAAACCCTCAATCAGTCACAGAAATTTGGACACTGTCATGCAACAAAAAGGAGACGTCTCTGTGGGTCGCTTGTAGGATCCCTTGAAAATGAACGGGCCAGTTCTTGGAGCCAGTGGGGTATCCATGACAGGCCAACCAATCCCATGCTGTACTTCAAACCCTTTCTAATTGGAGGTCTTAGCAAAAAGTTTCTGATTTTTTTGGGGGGGGTCTTATTGCTAGAGAATTTTGGGTTATTTCTGCCAAGGTACAATAGGTTTCCAGCTTTTAAAATACACTTTCTTGTTCTTATACTTCCTAGGGCATTCATGGTAGTATTGTGTTCATTGCGGCTTCTAGTCAAGTCTTATTTTTAAAGTGTTGCTATTCTAATGTGATTTTTCCATTGAAAAAGAGAATTTTACAGATAAGTAATACCTTAGAAATCGTATCTGTATATCCCCTTGGTTTGTTATAAATCACTTCATTATTTTTTAAGGACTGTAAGATTATGGACACTTCTTTTAAGATCACTGGGTTAAAAGCATTGATTGGCTTTAGTGATGCATCTGGTCCAATAGTTAATAAGAGGTAAAGCAGGTTCATAATGTAATTTTGTAAATTCTTCATTTCATTAGTAATGCCCAGCACTCATTCCCCTTCTCACCACGCCTATATTTAATTTTATCTACTTCCCATGGAATCCTCACATGCACTCTTATACAGCATTATTGCTATGTTTATTACTAAGTGGAATCCATGTTGAATTTTAGCAGGTTTTTTCCCCTCTGCATCTGCCTGTTTGATGGTTTATTGCTGCTCACTTATTAGTGCCCTGGGTCGTAACAACCTTATTCAAACAAAACATCTTAAATGGAGGCATTAAAAAAGGTCACAACAGTGAGCCATTTTGTAACTTTTGGTGCAATAAAAGGAGTATGTTGTGTTTTGGAATATAAGACCTCTGAGTGCAGCTATTCATTTTCTTCATCTATAAAACATTTTAGAATAACAGCTTACATCTGTTTGGGGTTTAAAATTCCACGTTTTGAAGAAACATCACTGTTATGTAACTCCGAACCAGACATGGGGCGGGAGCTAGTTCTTTGACGGGCCCATGTTCTGTAGAAGGTGGGAGAAGTGTTTGTTTTAGCTGTGGAGCCATATTTGCTGGCAGTACTCCTTCCACATGTGTGGAACACGTTTCCATTATTGTTTCTTCATCTTGTAAATGACAAAAAGCATTCAATAGGATTTTGACTTGAAGAATATTTGAAAAATTTTTACACATCAGGAGTTTATCTTATAAGGGATATTTCATTACCAGAAACCAGAATCAAATTTCATTATTTTAAGCATTTACAGTGCATTTAATTACCTTAGACTGTCAATCTCGTTTTAGAGAGTAAAGTTGGGATTTCTGTCGGCTCACTTTTTAAGATAAATACCCTATGGAATAGCTTGGCCATTCCAACTGTGTGATTTTTAAATTACTTCTTTAAATTTGAAGGAACAATTTGGGGCGCCTGGGTGGCTCAGTTGGCTGGGCGACTGCCTTCGGCTCGGGTCATGATCCTGGAGTCTCGGGATTGAGTCCCACATGGGGCTCCCTGCTCAGCGGGGAGTCTGCTTCTTCCTCTGACCCTCCCCCCTCTCGTGCTCTCTCTCACTCATTCTCTCTCTCTCTCTCAAATAAAGAAATAAAAATCTTTAAAAAAAAAAAAAAGAGACATCTCACTTTAAAAAAAAAAATAAATTTGAAGGAACAATTTAATGAATAGCTTTTAATAGGGGAAAGTGGGCGAAATGTTCATCTACAGGATTCAAAATCAATTACTAAGTACTAAAAAAGTGCAGATAACATGAAGTTTTACAGATTATATTTATTTATATTTATATTTATTTATATTTAAATATTTGAGAGAGAAAGAGAGCGAGTGCGTGCCACCGGGGCGGGGGTGGTGGGGCAGAGAGAAAGGGAGAGAGAATCTCAAGCAGACTCCCTGCTGAGCACGGACCCTGATGCGGGGCTGGATCCCAGGACCCTGAGATCATGACCTGAGCTGAAACCAAGAGTCGGATGCTTAACCGACTGTGCCACTGAGGCGCCCCAGATTATTTTATTTATTTTTTTAAATATTTTATTTATTTACTTGACAGAGAGAGACACAGCGAGAGAGGGAACACAAGCAGGGGGAGTGGGAGAGGGAGAAGCAGGCTTCCCGCGGAGCAGGGAGCCCGATGCAGGGCTGGATCCCAGGACCCTGAGATCATGACCTGAGCTGAAGGCAGATGCTTAATGACTGAGCCACCAGGCGCCCCGCCCCAGGTTATTTTAATCAAGAAGTAAAGACCATGGATCATTACAATAAGCTAAAGGCCTTTTTTCATCTTATAAATATGAAATATTTACATTCTTGTTAAAATGTGATAAATTTACATCTGGGAGGGGAGAGTACAAAGAAGAAAATGAAAATCATCTATAATCCTAGTACTTGTTAGTCCTCTTGGATATTTTATTACATACTATACATTTTTTTTTTAATTTAGAAAACCTTTTAATAAACTATTATACTGTCAGTTTGGAGGAATTTAGATAGTTAATTTAATTGAACTTTAGTTTCAGAATGGACTTTCCATCAGAAGCTTTCACATTTTGGTGACAAAAATGCTAAACTAAATTTCACTCCTGTTGTGGAATTTTGCATACAGGGTGGGGTGCTGCCTACTATAAAGACAGCAAACTTCTCTGAGTCCCACTTTGTCAGCCTAAACTAGGCTGTTGTCATCGATTGTTTTTCCTTTACTGCCAATTCCTGCCTGAAGGAAAGACAGATTTGTTTTTCCTGTGTCCACTCCCAAACTCAGGACCATCATTCGCTCCAGCAGAGTAAGACAGATGATGCTAGACTTTTAATTTGTGATTCAGTATAGGTACTTCAGAAGTAATTTGATGCCCTTGATTCATGAAGGTAAATACCCATTAATGCCTTCAAAACCATGGTCTCTAGCACTCACCCATTTCAAGCACTCACACACCCATATGCATATGCATATCGATAATGTTTTACTCTTCCCTGGCAGCTGAGCTGACGACAGAGAACAGGGCTGGAGCCGGGGCCTGCTCACAGCTGCATCACCCCAGCACAGCCCTTCTGGCCAGTGACTGGATGTCACAGAGGCGAGTGGGTAGTGGTGACTGGAGTTCAGGTATTTTTGTCTTAGGAAATAGGGAGGTGTGGTTCTGTTTTCAAATTTTAGAAGATGTCATGGAAAGCAAATAGAGTCTACTGAGTGTGAATTTACGTTCAGATAAATGCAGTTAGGTGTCTTCCAGGTAGAGTAGTAGACAGGCTCTGGAGTCAGGTTGTCTGGGCTTCACAGGGTGTCTTTAGTCAACTTACACAGCGTCCCTGCACCTCATCTTCATCTGTAACATGGGGACACTAATCATACCTAACTGTCGTACAGAGTTGTTGAGAGGAACGGAATAAAGCTCAGGAAGTGCTCATTAGCATAGTGCCTAACACCGGAGAAGTGCTTGGTAATTCTAGCTCTTGCTGTTAACCAACTGACTGCAGATACTCTGCCCCCGAGTGTGCCAGTTGTCTTCAGCCTCCCGTTTGGCTGCTGCAGATGAGCCCTCCCCTAGCCTACCCCGGGGACCAGCCTGCCCACAGGCCCGCTTTTGCTCTTGCACCACCGCCCGCACTGCTCTTCTGTTCCTCTGCCCCCATTTCTCAGCCTCCTCTTATAAGGGGCTCTGTGTGTCTCCTCTTTTCTCTTTCCTGCCTGCTCCATCCCTCCCCAGGCCTCCCCTGAGTACCCTTCCTTCCTCCTCTCCTGCTCCCCCTCCTCTCTGCCCCTCCTATTCTCCTTTCCACTCCTCTGCTCTCCCTTCTCTTCTTCCCTTCCCTTCCTTCCTCTCCCTCTTCCTGCTTTCCCTACTGTCTCCTCCTGCCCCACACTCGACCGCCCCCCGTCCCTCCCTCTCCCCCTTCATCTTCCTCCTCCTCCCCGTTTCTGTTTTAAACTCTAACACTTGGCCTGCTGAGGAGTAGACAGCTCTAGTTAGCTCTTCAGCAGAAAAATGTCAGGTCTTTAAAGTCTTTATTGCTTGTGATAGAAAATACTTATTTTGTCATTTTGGTAGCCAGATCTCTGTATTGTGCTTTTCTTTCTGTTTCAAAAGGGTTTCACACCATCATTTTATGTCCCTTGGGCTCAGAAAGTTAGTAGAACTCTACGGGCAGTTGCGGCTTAACCTTTTTTCTGAAAACTATGTCTACCCTACCTATAAATTTAATGTTAGCTTTATTATATACATGAAGTCAAAACAAACTAAGGTTTCTAAATAATAATTTTAGGTTCATGATAGTAGTCCTAGGCAAACTCTGATCTTTCCTGCCTAATTTATTTGATTTTTTTTTTCTTTTCAGATTCCTTTCTCATTGGTCCAGTTTCCCTTGTGGGAGTCCTTAAAAGTAAGTTTTCCAATCTTCATGTAAAATTTTTCTCTAGTTATCACAAATGACCACCATTTTCAGTGTGGAATAGCAAAATATAATATTGACTAGCAGTTGATTTATTTATTTTTTATTTTTTAAGTATTTTTATTTATTTGAGAGTGTGAGAGAGAGATCATGGGCAGAGGCAGAAGGAGAAGCAGACTCCCCCGCTGAGCAGGGAGCCCGATGTGGGACTCGATCCCAGAACCCTGGGATCATGACTTGAGTCGAAGGCAGACACTTGAATGACTGAGCCACCCAGGCGCCCTTGACTAGCAGTTTAAAAACTCAGAACTGTTGATAGTTGAAAATACTTTCTGCATGTGATTAACATGCCAATTCAGTCTTTTAAACTTGTTCTGATATCCGTGGTGCTGGAAACTAAGCACAGTAGGCATGACTGAAATCCACGGATGTTAAGGAAAAACTTAACTTTCTTCTCTCCTGCAACTCTTTTTCTTCCTGGTTGAATTTTATTTCATTCTGTGCGTGTGTACGTGTGTATAGAGGTTAAGGAATAAGAATGTGTGTGAATGGAAAGCAAGCAAGGCCCGCGAGTGTTTGTAGGCCTGCATTGGCCGAGGCCTCCCCCACCCACATGTAGTGGCTGGCAGCTGAGGGAGCAGCGGGGCCGTGGGCTCTGACCATCCCTTCCATGTCTGCTGCTCACCCCAGCCAGGCGTGGGAATCCCCAGGGGGGAACAGAGTGTGATGACTTGTGAGTCAGCCTTAGGGAAGGTCACTCGTATGTTTCAAAACAAATAATTAAATGAATTTTTAAAAGCCTGTGTTTAAAACATGATGAAATGTTTTCTTTTTTAAAAGATTCTGGGGCAGTGGTTTTGAAAATGGTAGGTCATGATATGGATTGTGTGGATATTTGGCAGCATTTTAAAAACTAATGCAAAAGGAAATAATAGAGAACATCTTACAAGGTAAGGACAAGTCTTATTTTGTAAAACCTCAGTGTTGTTTGCACAGGTACACATGCATCTGTGTACTGGGTTGCAATGTGACACGTGTGTCGCTGTGCATGATGATCAAAGAAATTGAAAACCCTGTCCAAGTGAAAATGGTTTATAAATGACCAAACTGTAAAATGGCAAAGTACCTAGGTAGGCATTTGATAATACAAAAAGTAATTACTCTCATAATTGTATGGAATTAGTAATCAAAGCCTGGTCATACAAAATGTCTTTTGGAAAGTAAAAAAAAAATATTTGGACTCGGAGGTTCTATGCTAAGGATAGTAAGATGAGATAAAACATTAGTCATAAGAAAAGAAACCAGAATATTCCGTATCGACAAATGTTTCTTACAAGTGATCTGATTGTAAGTAGTACAGCTTTTTTATCATTAGACTTTACATATAGTTTCTTGGGTTTTTGATTGTTGTTTTTGTTTTCACCATTTTCTTCGTGGTGCATGGTGAGAACGGATTTCTTGGGCAGTGTTTCTGGGCATGATGTAACAGCTCTCCAATGAGAAGGTCACATTCCATGAGCATAACAGCTTTCCTTTTCTGTGTGTGACCAAAGAACAATGGAGCCAACAGCTGTCCAGCAAACAAGACTCATTTTATTAGTGTCTCAATAACCAGCATTCACACAGCTTCTGCACACTCGCTAACATCCTTACACTCTGTCTTTGCATAGGAATGTTTTGAGGCCTGAAGAGGGAAAAGGCATCGGGTTTGTTTCTTTTCAGCATTAAGGACATTTGTAGTATTCTAGCTCATTAAGAAGTGTCTAGAATTTTTCAGAGTAATCATAGATAATAATATTATGCTTTAGCAGTTGTCTTTGAGCAAATGCTAAAATGCTATAGTTTTGTTTTTTTTTAAGTCAGGTGTATGGAGTAATTTTGATACAGAACGTTCACCCTTTGTGAATATACATTTTTATGACTTTTGACAAATGTTTATCATTACCACCATTATAAAAATACAGAATATTTAGTTTTCCCTTTTCCAGAATATCCTATAAATAGAATTGTACACCATATAGCATTTTGTGCCTGGCTTATTTCACTTAATATGCTTATGAGATTCATTCATATTTTTGCATGTCCCAGTAGTTTGTTCCTTTTTGTCACTGAGTAGTATCCCATTGTACGGAGGTACTGCAGTGTTTATCCCTTCACTAGTTGAGATACATTTGAGTTTCCAGTTTTTAATGGTTTTGAATAAAGCTGCTACAAATTTGCATATACATATTTGTATGGGGACATATGTTTTTGTTTCTCTTGGATAGGTACCTAGAAGTGAGGGAAAGTATACGTTTAATAAATAAGTTTAACTGTCAGACTGTTTTCCAAAGTGGTTGTCCCCTTCTGCAGCAATGTATGAGAATTCCAGGTGCTCTGGCGCCCTGTCATCGTTTGTTGTCATTAGATTAAAGAAATGTTGTTAGCTACTCTAATAGTTGTGTACCGGTATCTCATTGTGGTTTTAATTTGCAGTTCTTTCATGGCTCAACAATGCTGAGCATCTTTTCACATAGTAGTAGTTCTTTTAAACATCTGAATGTGAACTCACAGTGCTTTGTAGAAGTAGACCATTTGGGCCACCTCTTTCATTTTTGTGAAAATGAAATCACCATTCAAGTTTGCTTTTGCAGCCATGGAGAGATTGTAATCTATGGGAGGACCTTCTCTATTGTGTTTATGTGAGAATACTACTTGGGAAGATTTTTCTCCACAAGGACTTGAGCAGGTTTCATACACAGTGTGCTGCGAGGGGCAGGGAGCCTGAACACAGGGAGTGGCCACTGTCCTCTGAAACTTACCCTGCCCACAATTAAAGTTACAACCTTTTTCTAAAATCACTTCCTCCTGCTGCTTCCATTTCTGTTAACCATACTACTGATCTGACCCGGTGGGTCTCAAGCCCTGGATAATAATCTCATGATCTCTTTATCTCTGTCCATATCACATCATTCACTAAGTTTTGGTGGACTCTGAGTTTTTGGAACCTGCGGCCTCCTTTTTATGAGATTCTTATTAACTTATGCCTAGACTAAGTCTTGACAGTTTCTCTGCTTTCCTATCCATTCTACACATTGAATTTGTGTGATCTTCCTTAAACATCTCTTTGAAATTTATAACTTCCTGAAAGTCTCAAATATGAGGTGGATGTCCACACTGTGTCCTTCACTGGTTTTTCCAGCTCCCTGTCCCCTATGCTTTTTCAGAATTCTTTCCCTCCAGCCAGAATAGGCTCCTCACTGTCTCTGTTCTTTGGCTGCTTTCTGAAATATGCTTCCACGTCTCCAAACACTGCATCTTCCAAAGCCGGTTCAGTTTTGGGTGTTTTTTGTTTTTTTTTCTTCCTTGAAGTCTTCCAATCCAGGCCCTGAAGATTTACCCTAACTTACCTTACATTTGTGTGCATTGCTTATTGGTATTTAATCACACACTATGCTATGTTTAAAACAATTTAGAACTAAGTTTTCGAGGACTGGAGCAAGGCCTCAGCCCCTTGCATTTACAGATATGTGACAGATGGGAGTATACATGTATTGCCTGTGTACTCCTGAGCTGGACATTGGTCCTGTCACAGCAATGCAAAGATGATTAAAAGAGTTCATGCTTTTGAGGAGCTTGGAGTCATTGAGAGAGGCACAGGGCGCCAGATAACTTTAAGGTAATGTTTCTGTAATTGGAGACTTCTCAAGGTAATGTGGGTGCCAGTCCCTCTGACTTCCCTAATCATGTCACTACACTACCACATTTCTTCTGTTTCTCCTTTCTCAGAGTATATAGACCGAGAGTTTGCATGAAAGAAGACTAGACACCATAAAGAAGAAGAAAAGTAAAAGGGGTAGATTATCATGTCTAGAATCTCTAAGAAGATAATTTGCCCCTAAGATTTATGTTGTGTTTGGAACTTTCTGGCCACCCAGCCAGAAGAGAAACATGATCGATTACATGGTTGTTACTACTCGACAAAGACCCATCACTTATTATTTCATCTTGTCCCCTTGGCTTTGGATACTGTCTTCCTGTAGATGACTTGCACATTTATAGCTCTGTCATAGACAACTTCCTTGAAGTTACAGCCTCTTGTGACCAGCTTTCCTAGCAGACATTCTCACCCAAGACATCTCAGGCCAACCAGTTCAGAACAGAACTCTTGGTTTGTATTCTCCTTTTCCCCAGGCTGTTCCTTCGTCCCCGTCTCAGTAAATAGCGCAGCCCTCTGTTGCTTGCTGAAGTAGAAAGCTACGGATTACTGCACGGTTCTCCATTCCCCAGCCCGTCAGCAAGTCCACTGTTGGCCTTGAAGCCTCTGGTGCACCTCTTGCTTCAGTTGGTACATTGGCTCCTCAGAAGGTCTCCCTGATTCCATCCTTGCTTGCCTAAAATATCCTCTCAACAGCAGCCAGAGTGGTCTTTTAGTGAAATAAATCAGATCATACCACTATCTGCTAAAACCCTTCGGTGGCGTCTCTTTGAAAGAAGAGAAAAACCTAGCGTTTAAACTGGCTGACACAGTCCTCTGTCCTCCGGTCCCCTTCCCTCTCCCACCTTATCCCCTACCGCCCACCCAGCACGCTCCAGTCACGCTGTCTCCACTTACAGCTCTGCTGGCCTCCCTTCGGTTCTCTGTGGACACACCAGGGTGGTGCTTACCTAAACCAGGACCTTTACGTCGGTTGTGCCCTCTGCCAGAAATACTCTTTATGCATTCCCTCTAACATTGTTACTGAGCACGACTCAGTAGTGCACCTGCTGCGTGCCAGGCATCTTCTAGGGTTTGGGGCTAGAGTGGTGAAGAGGAGTGATGAAAATGTCTTTTCTCATTGAACTTTCATTCTAGCTCTTTCTCTAGGCTTTGCTCATGGCCGGCTCCTTCTCCTTCCCCAGGGCTTAGACCACGTGTCACCGCAGAGGGGCCTTCCCTTTCTACCCCTCTTTGAAGGTCTCTTCTCTTCTTCCCTCCCCAAGAATTATAGCACCTGTTTATTTCCTTCCTA